ACTATCACATCTTGATGTCTGGAAGAAGTTCTTCAAGAAACAAATGCCAAAACTCCGGAGAAGTTCGTCCATCTTTCTGATACCTGTTGGGAAGTAATATTTTTCAATTTGACTGTTTATTTTTGTATCGTTATTGTGAGATTATAAGCATTTTGTACATCATTACAGCTTCTATATTTTTAAGAAACATCAGTAAAGCAACGGCTCCTGGCGCATCTGAGCGCGGAGGCCAGTTAGGGTGCAGAAGAGGCCGTGAGAACGGAGCCTTGCTGCCAAATTGCTGCTGGCTCGTAAAACGTACGAGCTAGGCACTCCTAGCCTGAGATGGACCGACCTCATTACTGAGCAGGGACAGGCAACCCGAGGCCCCAAGACTAAATCTAGCCCCAAATGTCTTTCCGCCTCTTTCTGCACTTCTGATCCTGGAAGTACCCAGAATGACTACTGCAAGAAGGGAGCAGTCAGTGACTCACGAAAGCTCCTCCCCTGCCACATGTTTTGTCAGTCTTCAAGGTAGCACTGGGCTCTTGCTCTTTCCTGCTGCTGCAGACAGACTAACACGGCCACCCAGGCCTGTCACTGCAGTGGGACATCTTGGGGCCAGGCCCCCTCGACTTACTGCCCAGGCATCCTGACTTCCCATCCAGCCAGTTTATTTTATTGTATTTTCCGCGTGTGCCCTGGCCATGCCTAGCTGTTGCCTGACTCTGCCTGCCAGCAGCGTCCCTCTGGCTGGCTGCAGGTCAGGCACGCCATGGGGCACGTCTGCTCCCTACTCCAGTCCTCTCTCACTTGCTTTTCAAAAACTTTCACTCTCTCGTTGCTCCTGACACAGCACCCCCTGACTTATTTAAATGCCCCCCGAAGTAAAAAATCCTGCCTATGGCCCTGTGGCCACCCATCTCGATTTATCATGAAATGGTTACTGCAGGAGGCAGACGCAGTCCCCCCAAACGGCTGGTGCGGCCATCCTTCAGGCACACGTTGGAGAGCCTTGTCCTGTGGTGGCAGCTGCCGCCAAGGCAATGACATGGCCAATTGAATTCCCAGTGGCCACCCAGAAACCTTGCTGGGCAAAAGCCCCCTGTCCGCCCTCCACTTCCTAAAAACACTTGGCCGGCAATGCTCCCTCTAAGCTGTGGAGTCTTGTGAGCAAAAATTCCACTTTGTGAGCTTCTGGCATTAAAGTTGTGAGCGAGCGATTTGGCGACTGCATCAGTTAGTTTGCTCTGGAGCCATCCTTCCTGAGCTAAGACAAAAATCTGTGAGCTGGAGGCTAAAAAACTGTGAGCAAGCTCACACTAACTCAGCTTAGAGGGAACACTGTTGACGGGAACCAGCCAAGTCAGTGGATTTTGTGGGGCCCAGGGGCACCATGTTGGGGAACCTCTGTCCTAGGCTGAGACCAGAGGAGAGGACTCACTGCCCACTTGACATATCGTGTGACCAGCAAAAGACATTGCTTCAGAGAGTGAGTACATTCCTTAGTAGACATTTACTTGCCTGCTTGCTGCAAGGACCTAGGAACGTGTCAGGGGAGTTTTTCAAAACTCTAGTACAACTCCCACCCCTTTCCCTGAGTCTAATCTGGGAGGGAAAAGATTCACCCAATGGCTATAAACTAAGCAGGTTATTCCTGTTTGGTCCTTGGATCTGTTAAACAGCTTTCGATCAGTGGAAGAGAGGTAGGGTTGCCAGGTCTGGGTTGGGAAATACCTGGAGATTTTGGGGGTGGAGCCTGAGAAGGGCGAGGTTTGGGGAGGGGAGGGACCTCAGTGGGGTATAATGCCATAGAGTCCACCTTCTAGAGCAGCCATTTCCTCCAGGTGAGCTGATCTTGGTCACCTGGAGTTCAGTTGTAATACCAGAAAACTCCAGCCACCACCTGGAGGTTGGCAACCCTACAGGGAACACACACACACACACACACACACCCCAGTGATGGAGCCACCCACACGATCCTTCCAGCTCTGCCCACCCAGGACTGGGTGGATTTTGAAGATAATTACCCCTCTTATCGTACTTAAGTGATACTGGGGGGGGGGAACCCTCCCTGTTTAGTGACTAGGATTGTGAACATGGCAGCGAATAAGGAAAAACTCAAGGAAATTCTTATTGCTTTAAGGAAGGGGCTCATTATAAATGGGTAAAAGCTGCTGAGCTTAAAAATAACTGTTCTTATTCCACGTACCGCATTTCGCATGCTAATACTTTGCAACCATTTTATTTACTTAGAATGTCTCTATCCCACACTTGCAGCTAAAAGTGTTCGTAGACGCTGAGAGCTCGATGACAGAGTTCTGGAAGCTTCTGTGAGGAAGTCACCGCTTTTTTTCTTTCCTTACTGCAAAGTGCCCCCAGCAGACCTGGACACGGTTTATGGGGCGGAACAACTTGCCCTCCAAACCTTTCTTCAGTTCAAAATATGGCCCTAGGGGGGGGGGGGGGGCACTTGCAGATAGGGTTCCCAGCTTCCAGGTGGGGCCTGGGTATCACCCGTTTTTACAACGGATCTCCACCTGACAGAGATCAGCTCCCCTGGAGACAATGGCTGCTTTGAAGGGTGGACTCTCTATGGCATGGCACCATGTTGAGGCCCCTCCCCTCCCCAAACCCCTCCCTCTCCCGGATCTACCCCTAAAGTCTCCAGGTATTTTCCAACCCAGACATGGCAAACCTAAGTTTAGGCGGAGAGAGACAGACTGACCCCAGGTCATCCAGCAAGCTTCCATGGTAGAGTGACGATTCAAACCTGGCTCTCCGAGATCTAGGGTTGCCAACCTCCATGTGGGGCCTGGGGATTTCCTGCTTTTTCAACTGATCTCCAGCTGACAGAGGTCAGCTCCCCTGGAGAAAAGGGCTGCTTTGGAGGGTGGACTCTCTGTGGCACTGTACCCAACTGAGGCCCCTCCCCTCCCCAAACCCCGCCCTCCCCAGGCTCCTCCCCCAAAGCCTCCAGGTATTTCCCAACCCAGACCTGGCAAACCTGCTTGCGGATTTGGAAGTCTCATGTGGAGGTCTCTTCCGAGTTCTGCTACCAGAGAGATGCTTTTGAATGAAGACTGCCAGGAGCTGCACTTGGGACTATGCACACCTATGAAGTTGCTGGTCTGTCAAGGTCGGTTTCGAAGGAGCTGGGTGGGTTTAGCCTGGAGGGGAGACAATTGAGCAGAGATAGGATAGCTATCTTCAAGTATTTGAAGTGTTGTCATATAAAGGATGGAGCGGAAATGTTTTCTGTTGCCCCAGAAAGTCAGACCAGACCCAGTGGGTTTAAATTAAATCAAAAGAGTTTTCGGATAAACATTAGGAAGAAATTCCTGACAGTTAGAGCAATTCCTCAGTGGAACAGGCTTCCTTGGGAGGTGGTGGGCTCTCCTTCTTTGGAGGTTTTAAGCAGAGGCTAGATGGCCATCTGACAGCAATGCTGATTCTGTGAATTGAGGCAGATCATGAGAGGGAGGGCAGGAAGGGATGAGTCAGCGCTCGGCTCTCATTGCCCTTTCTTACATGCCCAGGGTAATGCCAATCACTACTTGGCCAGGAAGGAATTTTCCTCCAGGCTGGATTGGCTCAGGGATCCTGGAAGTTTTTTGCCTTCCTCTGGGCATAGAGTGGGGGGGGGGTCCTCTGGGGGGGGGGAAGGGGGGGGGGAGTTTTGAATTTCCTGCATTGTGCAGGGGGTTGGACTAGTTGACCCTTGAGGTCCTTTCCAGCTCTGTGTTTCTGTTTCTGTGTCTACTCTGACTGGCAGCAGCTCTCTAGAATCTCAAGCAGATGCCTGTCACATCAGTGAATACTTGATTTTTTTCACTGGTTATGCTGGGGATTGAACGTGGGACCTTCTGCATGCAGTTCCCTCAGCTGATTTCTGAGCAAACTTTTAGAAATGTTATGCCGGTTTGCTATGATCATTGAATGGATCCTTCATGCACAGAGGCAGTCTACTTTAGTGCCAGTGGCTGGGAACAGGGAAAAACTAGTGCCTAATGTGCTTGCTTTTCACAGACACTTGGGCAGTCAGCTTTAGAAACTAGGGTTGCCAGCCTCCAGGTGGGGCCTGGAGATCTCATGCTTTTACAACTGATCTCCAGCTGACAGAGATCAGCTCCCCTGGAGAAAATGGCTGCTTTGAAGGGTAGGCTCTATGGCGTTGTACCATGCTGAGGCCCCTCCCCTCCCCAAATCCCACCTTCTCTTGGATCCTCTACCAAAGTCTCCAGGTATTTTCTAACCCAGACTTGGCAATCCTATAGAAACTGAATGCTGAAATAGATGGATTCTGTACAGGGCCGACTTATCCATTAGGCACAGTAGGCACAGTGCCTAAAGCGCACAATACTTTTAGGGTTAGGCTACGAAAATATTTTAATTTCTTTTAAAATCAGGGGGAAATGAACTTTTAGGGTTGAAGAAAATGTTTTGATTCCCTCCCCCTCACATCAGGGGGAAAAAAGCGAAACGTTTAGGGCCCACGAAAATCTATTAAGTTGACGCATTTAAAGCTGTATCAGAAATAATTTTTAATATCGGTATATTATTATAGTGGGAGGTGCCCACGAAGGCCAAAGTGCTTGGGGCCCACGAAAGTCATAATGTGGCCTTGATTCTGTAGTGTTAGGCTCTTCCTGACAGACGCAGGCAGACAGGACAGCTATGAAACACAATGGTTTGCTTTATTTTCTAAAGAACAGCAGGGGTGACAGACGTCTGGAAAGAGCTGTCTTACACAAGGAAGGGCAGCAGTGCCTGGATATCTGGAATAGCACCTGGTACCGCGAGTGGTATAAGATAGCGGCAGCGGCGATGATTGATAGGAGGCCGAGGACCTGACGGGAACCACTTTCCTCATTTGCCAACATGCACACCTCAGTAGACTGTATCTGCATTGCTCAGTTTCTGGCACGATGCTAAGTCCTTATCCAGCGGTACCAGACAGCCCTTGGTGAAATCTGGCCCCGCAGCAGAGGAAGCCAGTGCCGGCTGGTTGCCAGGCGTACCTTCCTTGTGCTGCAGTGCCAGCTCGGCCACCCGCTTGCCCATGGTGAGGATCCCAGCGGCCTGGTTGCTGGAGCCATGTAGGAGATGGTAGAGCCAGTTCTAGAAAGCCTTGGTAGCCCTGGCATCGCACTGCTTGCCAAGGATCAGGATACCGGTGGCGTGGTTGCCCATCCCATCGAGCAGCTCAAGGAGGTGGCAGGAGCAGCTCTTCTGACGGCAACAGTCCAACACGGCTTGTTTGGCTGCGGCGAAGGAGCACAGGAAGAAGACCAGGAGCAGCGAGGCACCTCTGTGGATCTGGCAGGAGACAGCAAAGTTAGCCGCTGATGGCGGGAGGAGAGCCTTCAGGTGTTTCTTCCGCAGGTCTATTGCCCCACTGGGTCATTTTGCTGCTTACGGAGTCAGGGACTTCACTATTGCAGGTTGAGGTCCCATGAGGAATCGCAGGAGAGGGAGAGAAATGCAGTCTTCCTTTCTAGGATTTTATCATTTGTGGGCTCCAGCAGGGCAATTTCCTCGGTTCCTTCTATTTTTTAAACTGGGTCTCAGCCAATGCTCCCTCTAAGCTATGGAGTCCTGTGAGCAAAAATTCCACTTTGTGAGCTACTGGCATGAAAGTTGGGAGCGAGCAATTTGGCTACTGCATAAATTAGTGTGTTCTGGAGCCATCCTGTCAGCTATGCTGCCATGATGTTTATGGGCAAGAGTGCATCTGCTTGACGAGTGTACCATTTCTAACAGTAACGACGTTACTGCCTCTATAGCTCTTACAATAAAGTATAACCTTATGATAAGCGTGTACTCCTTTGTTTGGCTGTGGAACCGGACACATCCTTCCTGAGCTAAGACAAAAGTGTCTGGGCCAGCTTAGAGGGAACACTGGCCTCAACTGCTCTCAACATTTCACACCTCTTCATGCATGCTTAGTTATAAAGCCATCTGGGGAGGGTTTGATTCCCCACTCCTCCACTTGCAGCTGCTGGATGACCTTGGGCAAGCCATAGTTCTGTCAGAGCTGGATGATCTAGAACACCGTAGTTCTGTCAGAGCTGTTCTTGAAAAAGAGCAGTTTCTGTCAAGAGCTCTCTCAGTCCCACCTGCCTCACAGGGTGTCTGTTGTGGGGAGGGGAAGGGATGGGAGTTTGTAAGCTGCTCTGAGACTCCTTTGGGTAGTGAAGGGCAGGGTATAAATCCAATCTCCTCCTTCTCCTCCTCTTCTGTGTTAACAGATCTTGAGTGTGCACACTTGTTTAGGAACATACTGTTTTACTGGCTTAGACTAACATCCACCTTCCCATGGAATTTTTTGCAAGAGTAACCAACAATTCTTAGGTAATCCAACAGAAATTGACCAGTAGGGTGCAGTCCACCTTCTGCTAGCTGTGATTAAAGTTAATCAAGTGTTTTTAATGTAAAAAAAATAAATTGAAATCTTAAGTTAGAAAAAAATCAAGGGTTAAAAAAGTTCTTTAATCAAAGCAGTCCTGAGATAAGAAGGCGGATGGACAGAAATGAAACATTTTCACAAGGATCCCTGCACAGAGATGAATTCTGTTTATTCTACTGAGAAATAAGTCAGGGGCAAAATGTGAGGTAGCCGAATTTGCAGACAACATGATCATTCAAGTTGATGAATCCCCAAGCCGGGCTTCAAAAGCATCTCTCCAAACCAGATAAATGAGCGACAAGATGGAGTTACAGTGCAAGGAAGGGTATAATGATGTGCATTGGGGGGGGGGGAGGAAATAAACCCAAGCTACATAAATACTGATGAGATCAGAACGGCCTCTGTCTGTACAACAGAGAAGTCTTGGGATCATAATGCAATGTTCACTGAAAATGTCAGATTAATATATTTATCAATGGCTGCGGAGAAGGCAGAATTCTTATTAGGAACAGAGACGCATGCATCCTAATGACATTATCTAAGGCCCTCCAATGGCTCTGTTTAGAATTCTGTGTGAACACACACACATGAATGCATGAAGCTGCCTGATCCTGAATCAGACCATCAGTCCATCAAAGTCTGTATTGTCTACTCAGACTGGCAGCAGCTCTCCCGGGTCTCAGACAGAGGTCTTCTACATCACCTACTGTCTGCTCCTCTTAACTGGAGTTGCCGGGAATTGAACCTGGGACCTTCTGTGCAGAATTCTAAATCTAAAAGGATACCGTAGCACAGGGGAAAAATAAAAGAGCAATCAACGGGCTGGAAACTCAAGGCTTTTAAAGTTCAGCATAAACCAGCCACAGTGGGTATCTTGAGAATGTGGAAATGTTCTCTCAGTTAACACTAAAATGCCGAGCCGTTTATTAAAACCAATTGGTGGCCGTACAGAACAAAAGTAATGCTTCACACTATGGGTCACCGAATTCACCACAGTGAGATGTGCCAGATACCTCTTTGAAAAAAGGATCAGTCAAAATCCGTGGCATTCCAAACTTAGAGCCACTTGATCTCAGTGTTCCAGGTGCTATGGACAATTGAAGGAAGGGCTGTTGATTTCAGGGCCCTTTTTGACTTTGTGAGAGGAAACCGGCCACTGTTTGGGGGGCAGAATGCTAGGCCAGGTGGGACCCAACTGAGCGAACAGAAGATTCTCATGGCCTCTTCTACCTTCCCTTTCCACTCCCTGTTTTGAAACCTGCCCCTTTGGCTCATTTGGTTGCCTGCTTCTGATTCCATCTTCCAGGATTTATTTTCTGCTGGGAATAACATCTTCTGTTCAACACGCCCTTCCTTTCCCAAAAGAACACATAAACACCAATGCTCCCTCTAAGCTGTGGAGTCTTGTGAGCAAAAATTCTACTTTGTGAGCTACTAGCAGTAAAGTTGTGAGCGAGCAATTTGGTTTACTGCATAAATTAATTTCATGTGGAGACATCCTTCCTGAGTGAAGACAAAAATGTGTGAGCTGGAGGCTAAAAAACAATGAGCTAGCCAGGGGTCATTTCCTGCAGGAGAGCACAGGAGCAGAGCTCCGGCAGTAAAGAACCCAGGGGGTGGGCACATGCAACAAGCCCCACCCCCTGCTCCCAGCAGCCCTCAGTCAGAGCAAGAAGCAGCCAGGTAAATTGCAGAGCCCCCCGATCCAAAACAGTCTAGTGGCACCTTTAAGACCAAGTTTTATTCAAGGACAGATCTGCCTGTCCCCCATCCCCCCAATAGCTAGCAATCCAAAACAGTCCAGTGGAGCCTGAGGGTGGGTGTTGCCTTCTGACACATTTCTGGTGATATCAGAGGGTGTGGCATATGCAAATAAGTTATGCTAATGAGCTTTTGCACCTCTTTTTCTACGAAATTACCCCTGGAGCTAGCGCATACTAACTCAGCTTAGAGGGAACATTGAACACATGAAGCTGCCTTCTACTGAATCAGACCCTCTGTCCATCAAAGTCAGCATTGTCTCCTCAGACTGGCAGTGGCTCTCTAGGGTCGCAGGCAGAGGTCTTTTACGTCACCTATGGCCTGGTCCATTTAACGGAGATACCAAGGATACCAAGAATTAAGACGGAAAATTTGTAACAGCCGTTATATAAACTTGATAGAATTTCCCTTTATGCCTTGTCCCATACTCTGTACCCTTCTTGCCCTATAATGTATTATCCCATCCCTTGCCCTATAATGTGTTAAAACCTAATAAAAACTTATTTTTAAAAAAAGGAAGATGTCAAGCTTCTGTATGGAGTCCTCCAAGGGGCAAAGTACACATGTGGACACTGTTACATCTAGTTCAGCCCTAACAGATTGCATTTCTCCTTCTCAAACTGTGGCTGGCATGTTGCCTCTCTGTCCCTTCTATCCAGAGGGTTCCCATCTCGTATCCCCACACACACACACCCAATTTGGCACCTCCAACCCAACATCACCATTACCTTAGTATTGTGGGTCTCCATATCTTGTGGGAATCTTCAGGTTCCCCCAGCAGCCTTGTGTCATGGGTCATGACCACCTGCTTGCAGAGGTGGAGGATTTATAGGGTCAAGCTCTGAGCAGCCGTCGGACACCTCCCTGGTTCTCATTCACGATCCCCTCAATTGCAATGCCCCAAATAGTCCATCCCCCCCCGCCGCCGCCCAAACCCTGTAGGTCGGATCAGAAAAGAGAGGAAGAATCCTTTTGTACGCCATTCCTTAGAAACAGGCCAAGACATCTACCTGCCTTTGTTGTCCCCCCCACCCCCGCTGCTGCTAATAAAGCTGTCTGAGGGACTCGGCAAACGGTCCAGAGCCACAAAAGCGGCTGAAGGCTCGGCTGGGATAATGAGACCGTACTAATTTGCACGAACCCATTACACTAATTACCTCAAAGGCGCCAAAGGGGAAGCGAGAGGCTGCCTTTCTGTTGCCTGGCCCTGGTACGTGGGATTGGCATCTTTCCACAGTGGCACGTGGCACTCGGAGGTCCTTAGCATGCATGGGCGGGTGTTTTGTGGGGGCATTCACCTCAGGTCCTGGTTCAACTTCTCTGCTTCCCAAAAACAGGACCCCCAAATTAGGGGGCAAAGTGCAATGAGAAGAAGAAGGAGGAGGAGGAGGAGGAGGAGGAGGAGGAGGAAGAGGAGGAGGGGGGGGGGATTGGATTTATACCCCACCACTACCCAAAGGAGTCTCAGAGTGGCTTACAAACTCCTTTCCCTTCCCCTCCCCACAACAGATACCCTGTGAGGTAGGTGGGGCTGACAGAAACTGCTCTTTTTCAAGAACAGCTCTTATCAGAACTACGGCTTGCCCAAGGCCATGCAGCAGCAGGTGCAAGTGGAGGAGTGGGGAATCAAACACAGTTCTCCCAGATTAGAGTCTGCGCACATGACCATGACACCAAACTCACCATTTTCTCCAGGGAAGCTGGTCTCTGTCTTCTGGAGATCAGTTGTAATTCCAGGAGATCTTCAGGCCCCACTTGGAGGTTGGCAGCCTTGCTTGCATTCAGTTACCTTAAGTGAGCCAGACTGGTGGATCTATGCCTAGTAATAGTGGTACTATTACTATTGGCCCCTGGCAGCATCGAATTTTTCTGCCCAAGCAAGAAAGGTACACAATTGAATTATTGCCATAGGAAAGTATACCTGACCACGGAAGCAAACTATGAAGAAGATGAAGAAATTGGGTTTATACCCCACCCTTCACTACACAAGGGAGTCTCAGAGCGGCTTACAAACTCCTTTCCCTTCCCCTCCCCACAACAGACACCCTGTGAGGTAGGTGGGGCTGAGAGAGCTCTTGACAGAAACTGCTCTTTTTCAAGGACAGCTGTTGTCAGAACTATGGCTTGCCCAAGGTCATCCAACAGCTGCAAGTGGAGGAGTGGGGGAATCAAACCCGGTTCTCCCAGATTAGAGTCCACACACTTAACCACTAAGCCAAACATAAAAATGGGAAGCAAAGTGATCTTTTCTGGAAAATGGCTGGGTCACTGTGCGGGTCACCTGGTGCACCTGCAGACTGCCGCTCTCATCTAGGCTCCAGGTCCACGCAGGTTTTTAAGTGTTTCTTCAAACGCCATTTAAGTGTGCTTTAAAATCTGTTATTTAAAAGTTGCTGTCTTAAGCTGCTCAGTGGCCTGTGTTCTTATGCCGTGGCTGGGTCTCTGACGCTCGCTTTTAATTCATCACTTTTAGACCGATTCCCCACCAGCAGCTGTGCTGCCCTCGCTCTCCCGTTTGCCCTGGTCAATTCCACACTATTCGCTACCAGCTGCATTTTGACTCACATCTCCCCCCTGTGTCTTCTTGATCCTTGTTTTTTGAGATCAAGAAGATGCGGGGGGGGGAATGGGGGGGATGTGGGTCAAAATGCGGCCGCACAGCGAATAGTGTCAAACTGACCAATGCAACCGAGGCAAACACAAACGGGAGAACGAGGGCGGCACAGCTGCTTGTGGGGAATCAGTCTTAATGTTTTGTTTTTAAGACACCTCGGGCAAGTCCCTGGAGAGGCAGCATTGAAGTTTGTGAAACACATAAATAAATAGAAGTGAAACAAAGTTTTGTACGTTTTCAAAAAGGCCGCAAGTTCCAATTTCTTTTTAAAAAGGGCTTTTCGAATTTGATTTTTACCACTCCTAACTGAGAGAAGCAAAGACAAACTTCGCTCTTCCATCTTCTTGATGGAAGTTCAAAACATCTCTCAATCTAAAACCATCACTGTTGATGGCAAATGTCGGAAGAGGAATCAATCACGCGTTGGACAATAAATAGGTTGGATTCCGTAGAAGACCCTTGCTATAAAATCCATATTCAGGGTGAACTGGATTACTCTGAGCAGGACTTGGGATTGTATGGAGACCATGACTGGGGGGGGGGGGGGGGAGGGCAATGGACCCTTCTCCAAGGACACAAGAGGACCCTCAAGTTCTGATCCCAGAACCATGCAGTGCCTAATCTGACACAGCTTTCACACATGCGAAATAATGCAGTTTCAATCCACCTTTGTGACTGTTTGCAAGCAGATTTTGCCATTTCACACAGCAAAATCCAGTTGCAAAGTGCATTGAAAGTGGATTGAAAGTGTGTTCAAGTGTGTGTGAATGCACCCAGCGTCCTACTTGTCAGAATGCAAGGGTGATTTAATGCAAGTCAATAGCAGGTGGGTGTCAGGCTCTCTATGCATTTTACGGCTTGCCTGCTGTTGAGAGGTTCCTCTCTCTTTGATGTGCCAGGGGCTTGTCACCTTAGTGGGGCCAAATGTCCTAGCTTCTCAAATGTCTGTTATTCTGTTTTCCTTGCTATGTAGAGGATACGTGTCTATGGGGGGGGGGAGGCGCATTCTGGTGGGAGGGATGCTCTGGGAGGGGTATGTGTTTAGTGGGGGGGTAGTTGACTGTTAATTCTGGTGGGCATATACCGTGGGGTGACTGGGTCCTGATCTTTAGTGCCTTTACTTGAACACAATATATCTGCAACCTTCGAGCGTTCAACTTCAGTCCTCCTAACAATAGCTCATGTCCAGTATGGTATCTATCAGTGTCTCAATAAAGTTAGCTTCCTTCGAAGTGAATGGTGTTGAGAACTGATTTAACCAGGATCCTGACAGTGGGAAGGGGGTGGGACATCCTTCCCTGAGGACCCTGAAACCCTCAATTAAAAAAAATATTGCCCCAGATGCTCTTCTCCTAGCAGGCCTTACTTTCAGTCTCCGAGTCCAGCCAGGAGAAAAGCAGGTTGGTAACAGAGAAGTCTTTGAACAGCGCTGGCTCTTCGGCTTGGAAACGATGAGCAGCCCTAGAGTCGGATTCGACTGGCTTTCGAGCAATGGAAACCTTTACCTTAAGAGAGAGGCAGGACAAGGTTCTGTACACATCTCCTATAGGCTTTCCCAGCATGAGAAATTGCTCCCACTGTGTATCTATGGTGGCCCATATTCTTTAATGCACATCTACTGTGGAAGCAGCCCGGGGAAAAAATCTATGATCTAAAACAGGACTTTACAAATGTATCTCTCTTTGGAGAATTTTCTTGTAGGGCCCCATGCATGGCCCCAAGGCAAATTAAGGCTGTATGAGATTGCAATTTGCATTTTATGCGATGGAACTTCCTGGCCCTAGGTGCAAGCGTAACAATAGGGTATCCCAGTAGACTTTTCTTGTGTCCAGAATAAGCCTGAGTGTGCGTGCTACCCCATAATCCTTTGCAACAATGTACTGAATATGGATCCTCAGCATGTTGTCGCAAAGGATTAGGGGGTAGCACGCACACTCGAGCTCCTGCTGGTCATAAGCAAGGTTTATTCAGCCACCCTATTGTCATGCTTGGATTGAGGGCCAGGAAGTTCCATCACATAAAATGCAAATTGCAATCTCATGCAGCCTTAATTTGCCTTGGGGCCATGCAGGAAAATGAAAGGGAGTTTATCCCTTCAACATCCTTTCAGTTCTGTTGTTCAGCACTGGGCTCCCTGATTTCTTTTTTTAGCATTTAAAAGGGGGGGAACCTCCTTAAAAATGCTACTGACAAAAGCAGGGAGCTTATTTTGGAGTGACAAAACCATATGGAAGTTGATGGGTTAAATTCTCCTTTCTCTGCTGGGCTCTGAGGCAAATTGAGGGTGCGCGAGCCTGCAGTTTGCATTGGTTTGAGTCCACGGAGGGTGACCTCGGATTCACTGAACACTTAACTGGCTACTGCACCCTGAGCAAAGATCCAAAGTCCCATTCACAGAACTAGAGTCCCTTAGTCAGAATCCATGACAATACTCAATGGTTAGCTGTGTAGCGCAGACAGAAGGTTCTGATGTCTGGTGCGAGAGAGGGAAGGAGCGTAATTCAAGGAGACAACAAAATGAAAGAATCTCAGGCTTTATTGTCAACAGAATTCAGCCTTCTCAATTCCAGAACAAACCTTCCCAGGTCTGATAAGTGGGGGAGCAGGGACCAGCCACAGTATCACAACCTCGCCTCCCCACTTCCCACCACAACTGCTCTAACCATGGGAAAGGGAAAAGGGAGACTGGTGTGTGGCGCTAAAATTAAAGTTTGCACAGATCCACAGCTGGGCGACATTTGCATCCAAAATGTCAAATATCAAAACGTTCACATTCGATTTTGAGGGTCAGCCTTTGTTTTGGGGTGGGTGGGTGGGGCCTAAGGTTTGTGCAAACCTCCCCTCAGACAATAAACTATTAACTTTCCAGGCTCTATATTTTACAGCCGATTTTTTTCCTTTTAAAAACCAAAACGGCAGCACCCACCCCCAAACCCTGAATCCAACAATAATTGAGAACACAGTGAAAAATTCCAGTTAGTCAAATGAAAAATCTTGTTTTTCTTCTTTTTCACAAACAAGGACATCAGACATCCTCCCCATTCCACCTTGACAAATTCCTTTAGGAACAAAGGTTCGAATCCTGCGGCACCTTTAAGACCAACAAAGTTTTGTTCTGGGTAGACGCTTTTGTGTGCATGTACACTTCTTCAGAGGCATCAAAGAAGTGTGCATACACACAAAAGCTTCTACCCAGAATAAAACTTTGCTGGTCTTAAAGGTGCCGTTGGTCTCGAACTTTGTTTTGCTGCTTCAGACCAACACGGCTACCTGCCTGAATCTAAATTCTTTTTGGCTCTGACTAGCAGCTTAATAGCTGGGGGGGGGGCAATTGGGAACCCTCTCATGTAGGCCTCCCTCCTCTCCGGTCCTTGTGCTCTGAGGAAGGCCCAATACTCAGTGGGTTGCCTGGCCTTACTATGATCCACTCCAAGAATATCGAACCTTGCATGTCCCATCTCTGGCTTTCACCTCTGCCCTGCTGGTGAATAAGGTTTCAGGATTTGGGGGGGAGGCTGTTAACCAGGGCCGGCCCAAGAAAATACAAACGACAGATTCCTCTTGCCAAGTCGTATGTGACTCACCCATCGGTGCTATGGGCTGAGCCCTTACAGTTCACGTTTGCTTTGGGACTTGTTTCACACGGATGTTGCTTGTCAAGGGGAAAGCGAAGGGAGCCGCTTCCTAATTTGCCTTTCGGCTTGTGGCTCTCGGTTTTCTTGGGCAACAGGACAGCTTGGATGTTCGGCAGAACTCCACCCGGCGCAATGGCAGTAGGCCTCTGAGCCACCAGCTGGTTCTGGATGAAAGGGGGGGACAGGACGGCAGGAAGACCACCCAAGGAAGGCCCCCTCCTCACATTAACAAGCCAGAACATAAGACAACTCTTGCTATGCTATCCTAAATGGAGTTATTCCCTTCGATGTCCACGGACTTCAATGGTCTTAGAAAGGTGGTAACTCTACTTAGGACTGCATGGCCAGACTGCTCTAAAGGCTTCTGGGTCAGGCTTGCTTCTTTTTGTCACACTGGCTGTGGTCACACACACGAAATAATCCACTTCCAATCCACTTCCAGTGCACTTTCAAATTGGATTTTGCCAGTTCACACAGTAAAAATCCAGTTGGAAAGTGCATTGAAAGTGGATTATTGAGTGTGTGTGACCACCGCCCTAGTTGTTCTTTCACCCCCTGTAGCCTGCCTCTCTCCTCAAGGTCTCTGAAGTCCAGTCTGAAAAAGCTCCCTTGGAATGAACAGAACCGGCAGAGAAACACAATAGCTCCTGTTGTTAACAACGGGTCGGATTCGGCCAGCTGTTTTTACTCAGTCTTGCCAAATTCCCTTCCTTATGAAAGCCTCCACCCTACACGGTGGTCCAGCACAGACTTACAGGGTGGTCAAAGGGGAGTCCCTCTTTGTTTTCTCAGCAGCAGAGAAATAAGTCAGATCTAACCCAGCGGAGCTTGTGCAGGAGAATTTTGGTGGACATGCCCCAACGACCCGATCTCCCACCCACAAAAGGGTTCAGAATCTGAAACTGCCACCTCGCGCCTGGTGTCAAAGGCACCCTCAGCTGCGACACACATCAACACTTGAGATATCAACCAGTTCCCCCTTCCCCCATGCCGGAGGCAACGTTGTGCTTCACGTATCTCTTTTAAAAAAAAACTCCGCCAGATTCAGTGTCTCTGTACAGCCCTCGCTGTGTCCAAGAATTCCCTCCCCTATGGCCTTATTCATTCCGAGTCAGGAAGATCCTGTATCGCTGCCTCCTCCTTCAGTCTCCGGGATGGGATCGAGGACGGCTCGGCCACGGAAGAGGTCTGGGGAGGCGGCTCCATTCCGCCCAATGCCACAGGACTGGGCAGCATTGTGGATCTGCCACAGGGTGTCCAGCGCCTCTGCCTTGGAGTGTTTCAGCAGGTCAGCCTGGCCCTGCAGATGGAGGAAGGGTGGCAAAGGTCAGGGAAGGCAGTCATGGAGGTCCAAGGAAAGGAAACAACCAAAGATCCAGTAAGCAGGGTGGAAAAAGTCCAGAGTTTCAAGCTTTAATCATTAAGAACGTATAAGAAGAGCCCTGCTGGATCAGACCAGTGGTCCATCTAGTCCAGCATCCTGTCTCACACAGTGGCCAACCGGTTCCTCTGGAGGGCCAACAACAGGGCAAAGAGGCCGAGGCCTTCCCCTGATAAGAACATAAGAAGAGCCCTGCTGGATCAGACCAAGAGTCCATCTAGTCCTGCCTCCTGTCTCACACAGGGGCCAACCAGTTCCTCTGAACGGCCAACAACAGGGCACAGAGGCCTTCCCCTGATAAGAACATCAGAAGAGCTCTGCTGGATCAGACCAAGAGTCCATCTAGTCCAGCCTCCTGTCTCACACAGTGGCCAATCAGTTCCTTTGGAGGGCCAACAACAGGGCCTAGAGGTTGAGACCTTCCCCTGATGTTGCTTCCTGGCTCTGGGATTCAGAGGATTAGTGCCTCTGAATGTGGAGGTTCTCCTCAGTCACCAGGGCTAGCAGCATTTGATAGACTCATCCTCCATTCTCCACTGTGAAACAACTTTGTTGGAAGAAATGTAGATGGGAGGGATTTGAGTCCAGGGATATGGAAGAGGCCTTTCTCCAAACAGCCTCAAAGCTGTTCAAAGACTTTGAAAGGTAGTTGAGCGGCAGCTAGAAAAACAACGAGTTACAACCAAGCACCAGGAGGGGATGCTGCATTTGTGTAAAAATATGCCAGAGATCAGGATCCTTCAGCCTCTAGGCAAGAAAGGATGAGTCTTTCCCCTCCATTGCTGCTGTTCCTCAAAATACATACGTTCTGGCACATGCACCTGCAAGTCCCCGCAGGGCAGAGCTCATGCTGTTCCCAGGGCCTTTCTTTGGAATCCGGTTTCAATGCTGGGGCTCAGTCCCAGGACGGATTAAATTGTTATAATAAAGGGTGTGCTTCTGGCCATGTGCACAGAATAAGTCACACTCCCCCCCCCACACACACACACGTTCAGACTGGGAAAACCACAAGTCAAAATGTTTCCGGACACCTGAACAGTGAAGGGGAGATGAGAAAGATCTGCTAAGGTAGGAGGAAAAGGAGACTGAACTGGCTATATAGAGCCAACGTGGTGTAGTGGTTAAAATGTCAGAATAGAATGTTCTTATGATAAAAGGAAGGACTTCTTCACCCAAAGAGTAATGAACACGTGGAATTCACTGCCACAGGAAGTGGCGGCTACAGGCATAAACAGCTTCAAGAGGGGATGGATAAACATATGGAGCAGAGGTCCAATAGTGGCTATTAGCTACGAGGTATGGATGGGACACTCTGTCTGTGGCAGTGATGCTCTGTGATCTTGGTGCCAGGGGGCTCAAGAGTGGGAGAGCTTCTGGAGTTCTGGCCGCACTGGTGGACCTCCTGATGGCCCCTGGGTTTTGGCCATTGGATGACACAGAGTGTTGGACTGGATGGGCCATTGGCCTGATCCAACATGGCTTCCTTATGTTCTTATAGGATCTGGGTTCAAATCCAGGTTCGAATCCCCACTCTGCCATGGAAGCTCACTGGGTGACCTTGGGTCAGTCACACACTCTCAGCCCAACCTACTTCACAGGGTTGTTGTGAGGATAAAACTGAATAGAGGAGAATGATGTAAGCTGCTCTGGGTCCCCACTGGGGTGAAAGGCGGGATAAAAATAAAGTAAATATAGTGAGAATCCCCAGGATGAAGCCGCACATAACATCAAAGCAGGGGGCTATGCTTGCATTGTGATCCCAGCCTTGCTACACACAGCACGTGCATTCCAGAAAGTTAAATGTGGTGTCAGCTGTCAGTCTTGTTCACCCTGGCCCCGCTAAAACCAGTTGTCTACTTTTTAATTTAACGCAGCATACATCCCCTTACCTTTACCTTTTACATCTTTTTTATTCACTGACATGCTGCACCTTATTTGTTTAAAATGTAAATATTAAAAAAAACAGCTGCACAACTGCTTTGGGATTATGAGGGAAGAGAGTGAGATGTATTGTTGAGATCACACGCATGAGCCAATTGGTGCTGCCCACAGCTCAATTTCCCCCAAATCTAGCCCCTCCAAAGCAGAGTAGCAAATTTATCCACAACTTGGTTTTAAAGACCCAGGAAATGGCACCTCTGTCTGCAATCCACACCAGGCAACCCTTTGGACTGAATGCGGCAGAGGGTCCTTAAAAATTTGCCCCCATTCATATATATCTCTGCCCAGGCTTCGGAGAGCACAGCATGGATTTCAGCAGCAGGAGAACAATCTGCTGGCTGTGAAAGTCTACACGTTAGAAACCCTGTGGGGTTTTCAAGGCAAGAGACGGTTCAGAGGTGGTTTCCCATTGCCTGCCTCTGCATCACACCCCTGGTATTCCTTGGAGGTCTCCCATCCAAATACTAGCCAGGGCTTCTGAGATCTGATGAGATCAGGCTAGTCTGAGCTATCCAGGTCAGGGCAGAAATCAATGTAAGTCCAGAATAATCATCGATCCAAGCTCACAACCAAGATTTCCAGATTGGGCTCCCAACAGGCAGCAGGGCCTCAGCATTTGCCCCACTTCACCCCCCTCTGGAGTCACAGCAAGTCCAGGAACTGTGGGGTTGCAGGGAGAGGCCATAACTCAGTAGGTTTTGTATCCAAAAGGCCCAAATTCTGTCTCTGGCATCTTCAGATATCAGAAGACTAGCAGAAGATTGCAGGACTAGCAGGTGCTGCTAGCTGAAGTCTTGGGGTTGGATCCCATCAAATTTTCCAATGGGGAAAGGGGAAGGAGGGGTCCCTTTTTGACCACCACAGAAAATATGCTAAGGAATGTAGGACGGGAACTACAGTCAGAAGGAGAATCAGATGGGATTGAGAAGAAAAGTTGGTAGGATCCAACCTCTGGAGATCCACTATCAGCCACGGTTGACAGGGCTAGCTAAACCGATGATTTGAATCAGAGTTAGATGCTCACATACGGAGCTTGACTTCTAATTCTGAGGAGGAGACCAAACTACAGTTCCCACAGTGCTTTGGGGGGGGGAGCAAGCCGGTTATGCCTTTGACCTGGATTAAATCTGGAGAGCAGATGTTTCCAAATAATCGCTCTTCCTCCTGCTCACAGGCTGGGTAATGATCCTTTTAGAGAAGCGATAAACACACTCCCCCATCCCTCGCCTGCTGACTGTTCAAGGCCTGATCCTGCACTGATAACAGGATAAGTTGGTCAAACAAAACAGATGGGGATGAGAGTGTTCCTGCTTTTGGGGGGGAAATTATAAAGCTGCTTTGCCTCCATTTTTAAAAATCAAGCATGAGTGGGGAGGGTGGGGACAGGCAAACTCAAATTCTGCAGACCATCTCTCTAAAAACATACAATTCTTTTTACATGGCGGAGGAGGGTTTTGTGTTTCCCATATTTCAATGATCTGCACCCCAAGGCCAAGGCCTTCCCTGACAAGAACATAAGAAGAGCCCTGCTGGATCAGACCACTGGTTCACCTAGCCCAGCATCCTGTCTCACACAGGGGCCAAATGAAAAACGGAAAAGAACTGTGACAATTTAGCGCTTAATAATATATTCATAAATCATAATATACAATAACAGAAATTAATATAAATAGTGAATGTAGTAGATGGTGGTCTCTGGAATGATGTGCCGTTTCGAATCTTCTTTTGAACAAGGAGGTGTACATAAACTGTCCTTCAACAATTCATTTCTCTTGGTGACGTATTGACAATATACTGTTGATTCACTTCATCATAAAGCTATGCTTACAGCTATGTTCTTCAATGGGCTATGACAGTTTATGTACACCCCCTTGTTCAGAAGAAGATTCGAAACGGCACATCATTCCGGAGACCACATCATTCCGGAGAGAGAGAGAGAGAGAGAGAGAGAGAGAGAAAGAAAGAAAGAAAGAAAGAAAGAAAGAAAGAAAGAAAGAAAGAAAGAAAGAAAGAAAGAAAGAAAGAAAGAAAGAAAGAAAGAAAGAAAGAAAAAGAAAGGAGAGAGAAAGAAAGAGAGAGAGAAAGAAAGAGGGAGGGAGGGAGGGAAGAAGAATGGAAGGGAGGAAGGAAGAAAGAAACTACTTCCAAACAGCACACTATAATTTAAATATGCACAAATTCATAATGTCCCAAGAACCACTAGGTGGCAGTCGGTGGCCTCGGATTTGGCCAAAGCGCTGTGCCCAGAGGGCAACTTTTAACAGAGGAAGGGACAGGGAGACTCTGGTGTGATCCTTGGAAGAAGGGCTGGATAAGAATATGATAAAGGTCAGCAACTTCTGAAATGCATTTTTATAAACAGAATAACTCTATGAAACCGAATTGTTCAGGAAGGCTTTTCTATGAAGCTAATGGGGCTGTACTGTAACAGAACGGTTCAGGAGGGCACTTCAGAAAGGGAAAGGGACTGGGGACGATACCACTGTGTTCAGGACATATTATCTGTTTGATGCACGTACTACCCAATGCTCCCTCTAAGCTGTGTGGAGTCTCGTGAGCAAAATTCCACTTTGTGAGCTACTGGCATTAAAGCTGTGAGCGAGTGATTTGGCGACTGCGTACATTAGTTTGCTCTGGAGCCATCCTTCCTGAGTGAAGACAAAAATCTGTGAGCTGGAGGCTCAGCTTAGAGGGAACACTGCTACCCTGTTTTCTACTTATGTAATGACCTTTTCTTTAAAATTCAGTTTCTTCGGTTTCTATCCTACCCTTTCTCTCCAATGGGGACCCAAAGCGGCTTACATTGTTCAGCGTACAATGGTATTTTGCTCACGTGGTTAAGACGTCTGATGCTTGATTTGTATATTACGGGCATTGTGCTGGTAGTGGAACAAACTGTACAGCATTTTTACTATCTTACTCTGTTCCTGCTGCATTGCTAAATTCTGTAATCTGCCTTGAGCCTCGTTGAGAAAGGCGGACTACAAACAAAGCGAATAAACAAACGGAAGATGCCGAGTCTTAAAGTCGGCTTGGAATTCACTCGAGCAAATCCTTCCTTTAAATCCAAGCCCCATGTGTGGCTGTATTGAGAACACTAAGGTAGGAATGCGCTTTGCACATGGGCAGAGGTATCTCGTGCTATTTCTTCACATGCTTCAGGAATGAGCCACAGGAGTTCCCTCTGGTGATTTTAAACCGAACTCCAGTACTGGGTAATAAAAGAGCCACATTTCACCTGGTGGACAGGCGCACAATGAAGACACACTCCAAACTAGAAAGGCGCCCCTTCAGACCTCACTCTTGGCCCCTGCTCCCACCTCCTGTGTGGAGATTAAGGAGTATGCGCTACAATCAGGCGCTTTCACACACACTAAATAACGCACTTTCAAAATCCATTTGCAATGCACTTTGCAACTGGATTTTACTGTGTGAAATGGCAAAATCCACTTGCAAACGGTCACTGAAGTGGATTGTAATGGAATTTAACAGTCCCACACGATCAGCCCAAAGTTTTTTGATAATCCTACACACAGTAGGGCATCCCAGCCTAAAGAAGAAGAAGAGAAGAAGAGTTTGGATTTATACCCCACCCCTCACTTGGAGTCTCAGAGCGGTGTACAAACTCCTTTCCCTTTCCCTCCTCACAACAGACACCCTGTGAGGTAGGAGGGGCTGAAAGAGCTCTTACGAGAACTGCTCTTTCAAGAACAGCTCTGACAGAACTATGGCTTGCCCAAGGTCATCCAGCAGCTGCAAGTGGAGGAGTGGGGATTCAAACCCGGTTCTCCCAGATTAGAGGCTGCACACTTAACCACTACACTGAACTGGCAGGGAGCACCCAAAATCCCGGGCCACATCTCACGGAATTCCAAGGAGTGTTCCCAGTTCCACAGGTGAGTGTGAAGCAGCGTAAGAGCATGTGTGCATGCAGATTCCAGCGTGGGAGGTGTCCCTTAATATGCATTGCCCCAGGCAATTGTCTCCTCCGCCTGGTGGGCTACAGCAAACCCTGGAAGGATGCCACAGAAGAGATTCAACCTCCAGAGAGCCATTGTCCCCCAGTCTGTACAAAGTACTTACTGCAGTAGGGTCCCCATTGTGTTTCAGCCCTTCCCACTCCTGCCAGGGGTGTGAGGCATCGCAGACCCGCAACACGCCAACCGAATGGCACACGTGTGATCTTACACACTGGGGCTGGGGGTTACGTGTCGGGAGGAGGCCGTGAAGACTGTGAGGTAGATCCCTGCCCCAGTTTTTAAACTAAAGAACAGTTTCACAACAGCATCTGGATAGGAAGCCGTTCCCAGAGGCATCCTGCGTGCCATAGCTGGTCGGGTTTCCTCAAAGGAGGGAAAGACACTGCATGTCTGCTCAGAGGTACTTGAGCCCCAGTTCTCGCAGGTGCACTGCAGCCCTGGAAGCAGGTCTGGGATTCTGGTCTGGAGACTCCCCCCTCCCTCAGAGTCAAAATTACCTTGAGGACTGTGATGTTCCAGGCAAAACTCTCCAGCGCCTTCTGCAGCTTCCGCCCTTTCAGATCCTCCTTCACCTCCAGCCGGTGTAGCTCTTTGTGAAAACCCATCCCTGGAGAAGCAAGGAAGGGGTGGGTGGGAGAAAGAGGGGCACAGGGGAAAGCGTCACAGGAGTGGCACCTTGTCCAGGGGTGCCAAGTCTGACAGAATGAGGAAGGCATCGTTGCCCTGCATGGTTTTCCTATGATCACCCCTGGAAGAAAAAGGTTCAGCAGGCTTTTCTAGGGCTTCAAGAAACTGAAGAACCTATTTGGGCAAAGACCATGTAATAACATGTGTACGCCATGGGTCATGATGCCCACACCACCCTATCGTTGTCAGCTCTCCGGGAAAAAAGTCAAGTCTCTCTCCAGCCTCCATATATCTCCTTTCCCATCCCTGCCTAGAGGCACTTGTCCCATTCGTCCCACAAGTTCTGCCCCCCCCATCCCCCCACACCCTTGCTGTTTGCCATTCTCCATCTTCCAGCCCGGGCAAATTCCAGGAGCTCCTAGAATTTTGGAAATGGAATTATGCGAAATAACGGCATGGATACAAAGGAAGGAAACACTTCTCTACTCCAGGAGGATGGCTGAGTCATGTAGAAATGCCAGTGCCAAAGGTACCAGCACATCTGGATGGGCAAGCTGCCCGGGAACTTCAAGCAAACTGGCGCAGTGGTTGATTCACACACAGGCCTGCAGCCAAATAACTTGCGGTGCTTGTGTGGGGGTCCCGAAGGGGATAATTCAATGCAGATCAGCAAGAAACGAAGTAGTGATTATTTCGTATGTCGTTGTATTAAATGTAAACACAACCAAAAAATGTAGTTGTATACTGCTTTTAAAAATCCTGCTTTTCAGCAATGCTTTTACAGAATGATGGAAGGTGAGAAAGGTTTGTGATTGTACAACTGGGCAGAATACAACCTTCCTGTGTTCCCTTATACTGCCACAAGCAAAAACGCTAGAGTTACTTTTGTGAATGAAAACTGAAAATCCAATGAAGGAGCCAGGGATATCTTTGAGGAGGGAGTCTGTTTTACACATTCAGCTACAAATCGAGAAGCACCACAAAACTACATTCAGATATACATGTGCATCACATAAATTCACAGCCCTTCTTGATTTATAGCTATACATGTGAACAACATTAAACTGGAAATCCCTGTCTTTGGGGCAACACAAAAGATCAATCAGTAGGGTTGGCAGCTCTGGGTTGGGAAATACCTGGAGATTTTGGGGGTGGAGCCTGATTAGGGTGGGGCTTAGGGAGAGGAGAGACTTCAATGGGGTATAATGCCATAGAGTCCACCTTCCAAAGCGGCCACTTTCTGCAGGTGAACTGAACTCTGTCACCTGGAGATCAGTTGCAATAACAGATCTCCAGCCACCACCTGGAGGTTGGCAACCCTATCTACGGGGGCATGTTTGATGTGTAATTCACATGTGCAGGATGTAAAATTCACAGCCAAGGTGGTCATGAGAGTTCTTTCAAGGAAGACCAAGACGCAAAGGTTAAAACCCTTGATGATGACTTCCAACTTACAGGGATAATGCAATACGTGCATGTGAATGAGACACCAACGCATAAATATGACACCACGGGCAAAAGTTCTGTTATCTTGGCATGCGATGCTTTCGAACACTGGGTTTGTTCGTGCATTTACCTGGCAGTCTTCACGTATGCAGTTAATTACAGTTAGAAAGATCAAGGGGTCTGTTCAGCAGCCCCAAACACAACAGTTAACTAAATCCTGGGAGCTTGACTGGGGTGGGGGCCCTCCTGTCTATAAAAAGAACTCACGGCACCAATATCCCGGGAAGAGGGAAGGGGGGGGGCAGGTGTCACCCACCTGCTTGTTGCACCTGAATGATCTTGGTGTGAACGGCGTCGGCTGACTCAATCAGCGTCCGGCTTGTCTGGATCATCTGGGTGGGAGGGTGGACACAGAGAGGAATGTGTGGTGAGCGTATATGGGGAGAGGTGGCCAGAAAAGCACCCCCACCCTCCAGGGGCTCTTGGACCAACCCCTCCCCTTCCTTTGTAGCATCTGCAACAGGCCCTCCAAGGTAAAAGAAACAGCGTAGTGTAGCGGTTACAGGGCTGGACTAGGGACACCTAAGTCTGAATCCTCCACTCTGCCACGGAAACTTGTCGGGGGGCTTGGGGCCAGTCACGCTCTCTCTCTCTCTCTCGCTCCTTGTCTCTCTTCTCTCGGCCTAATCTTCCTCACAGGGTTGCTTCTGTGAGGATAAAAATGGAGGAAGAGGGAGGATCACGTCGTAAGCTGCTCTGTGTCCCCCACTAGGAAGACAAACGGAGTATAATTATAAATAAGTTACGCGGATGTTTATTTTTTAAATTTATTTTTATTTTATTAGATTTGTATCCCGCCCTCCCTGCATAGCAGGTTCCACCCTTCCTCACAGCCCGGCTCTTCGTACGCTCCACCCTGACTATACAGCACCTAGCCCTGAGGTAACCTGTGGGCAAACGAGGCCTGATTCTCATGGACAGGGGTTAGTATGTGGGCAAATGGCACATTATGTTTCATATGAGTTCCCAGTGGGGACTGGTGGCCATTTTGCAGCTGTAAGTCCCTCATGGCAACACACCATGTAAAAGCACCAAAGGGTCCCATATGGATTGCAACCATGGGGGGAGAAGAAGGAGGGTTGGTTTTTTTATACCCAGCTTTTCTTTACCCTAACAAGGCTCAAAGCGGCTTACAATCGGCATCCCTTCCTCTCCCCACAACAGACATCTTGTGAGGCAGGTGGGGCTGAGAGACAGTTCAGAGGGAGAACTGTGACTGGCCCAAGGTCACTCAGCAGGCCTCATGGGTCTCAAAAGTGTCTTACAATCACCTTCCCGTCCTCTCCCCACAACAGGCATCTTGTAAGGCAGGTGGGGCTGAGTGAGTTCCGAGGGAACCGTGACTGGCCCAAGGTCACCCACCAGGCCTCATGTGGAGGAGGAGTGGGGAATCAAACCCGGTTCTCCAGATTAGAGTCCTCCACTCTTAACCGCTATACCACGCTGTGGGGAAGAAGGGCTCCTGTCAGCGCAAGCATTCCGTGTACCACACCGTTAACAGGCGGCACTCACAGTGTCGTAGGCAGCAAGCACTTTTCGTAGCAGCTCCGGGACTGGCCCCTGGGCCTCCATGGAAGGGTACTCCTCACCCAGGTTCAGGGTGACAGCCGGAGGGCTCTCTTTCTCACTGGGTTGTAGCCACGTGGCCAGCTTTAAGATGCACTGCTTGATGTTGGCTGCTGGTGTCAAGCCGCACAACTCCTTGAAGGAGACCAGAGCATTCTGGAGGAAGACAAGAGAGAGGGGAGATAAAACACTGATGCCCACAGAGGCTGTTATCAGACCCTCAGCCAAGCCTGGTGCTACTCTCCTCTGCGGTGACCCCATTCTCAGGTATTTGCCGATGTTGGTCAGCCAGGGTAGCCAACCGAAACCTCTGGTTGTCATGAGACTAAGGAGGGCCAGGGTCTTTTCTAGTGTCAGGCTGAGTTAGGAGATATTTGGAAAGCCCCCCAAAGGATACGACCAACGACAGACCATCCCAACACCTCCTCGCCAGCGCTGAGTCCAGGAGAAGAGTAGGCCTTACCATACTTCCTTGTCATTTTGAGGGAAATGCATGCAGTGGCAAGTGTATCTACGAATTTGGTTCCATCCCCTGGTCTACATCAAGACATACAAATTAACTCGCTGAGGGGACAAATCCTTCCATTTTAGCTTGGTTCTTCCCAGTCTGCAAGCTCTGGCATCCATGTTGGGTTCTTGTATTTCGGTTCCACATATTTTCTTTAGCATCTGCTTTTGCCCTGCCTGTACCCTATCATTGTACCTCTGCCCTCGCTTGCCATTTGCATTCCTTGGGGGGGGGTGTTGCTAGAATGTTAGGGAGTATAGCTTGGTAACTTTCTGAAGTGAGCCCCAAGACAGCATTCTCATGAGAATGACCTTGGCGAAGTCTTGTGCCTGGCTAGGTTAGATAGGGCAACCATATATCTGTCTGGGTTGCTTATAGAAACGCTGACGTTGGTGTGAATGGAATCTCGGGGTTTTACCTATGTGTTGCTTTCCCCCACCTTTGCAATTTAGTCCTAACAAAGAGCTTGAACCCATAGCATCTCATATCTTCAATAAAACATTTCACTGCCAAAGTGTGTGCGGAGAGTGATTTGACTGGGAACCTGACAGTGGAGCAAGCTGAATTCATCCACATGAATTTATATTGAGTGTTCTATCGATCTGTCCAGGCCATTCATTTCTACTCAGATGGGCAGCGGCTCTCCAGGATCTCAGGCTGAGGTCTTTCACATCACCTAATCCTTTTAACTGGAGATGCTGGGGATTGAACCTGGGGCCTTCTGCACGGCAAGCAGCTGTTCTACCACGAAGGGAATTCATGGGTCAGCTGAAATTCCATCTGAGGCTCAGACTTCCTGGTTGAGAATACATCCGTTCTCTTAACTGTGATTCACCAGGAACAAGCAAACAGATCTCGAGCCTGCCTCCTCCCTTCCTTTCTGTGCTGGCAAAGATGGTCTGAGAAAGCTGGAAAGACTTTCTAAGCCTTGATCCCTGTTTGACCCTTGCTTTCTCCAAAACTGCTTGGAACAGCTGCTGTCTATTCATACTTGGCCAGAACAATCAATGAGAAACATACCTAAGAAAGAACCACAATGCCAACCAAGAAAGCAAGCTCTTTGTTTACTATGTTTTTATTCCCTCTTTCCTCCAACGGGCTCAGGGCAGCACACGTGGTTCTCCCACTCCTTTGTTTTACCTTCACAACAACCCTGTGAGATAGGTTAGGCTGAGAGAGAGAATGACTGGCCAGAGGTCATACCCAGTAAGTTCCATGGCAAGTGTGAATTTGAACCTGGGTCCTAGTAGGGACCTGCAAGAGGCTTGGACTGTGTTTACCACTGAGAGAATGAAACGTTGAAACCTAAAGGTTTGATCATCATGCTGAATGCTTAAATACTCCACTTATGAGACCAGAGTTCAAATCCCCATGCGGCCATGAGGACCAGTTTGGTGTAATGGTTAAGAGCACGGACTCTAATAGGGTTCCCCACTCCTCATGTGCAATTGCTGGTGTGACTTTGGGTCAGTCACAAGTTCTCTCAGAGCTGTTCTCTCAAGAGCAGTTCTCTCAGCGCTCTCTCAGCCCCACCTACCTCACAGGGTGTCTGTTGTGGGGAGGGGGAAGGGAAAGGAGATTGTAAAGCGCCCTGAGACTCCCGAGTCAAGGGCTGGGTATAAATCCAATCTCTTCTCTCTCTTCTCTTCCTCACTGGGTGTGCTCAAGCAAGTCACTCTCTCTCAGCTTCACCTACTTCAGAGGAGTGTTGTGAAGATAACACGGAGAGTCATGTATGCTATCGTGAGCTCCTTGGAGGAAGGGTGGGACAAAAACTGGGAGAATAAAGTGTACCAAGCTGTACTAGGTATGTGGTGCCTTATGGAGCACAAGGGGAAAAGATCTCTGCCCTAAAGCCCTTAGTTTTAGATTGCAACGATTGAAAGCACACGACAGAGGCTGAAGTTAGATGCTACAGAAATTGGCAGCCTTGGTCTTCTCATCTTCAAGCACTGTGGGTTTCCCTGCCTCCGTTCAGTGCCAATGGGGGGCTGCTGTCTTCAGTGGTATTCACGTGATCTTGGTAACATCTCATTTCCGACAAAGGGGAAAAGGCAGGATATTGGTATAAATCTCCACAATTGTGGAGATGTGGGGAGACGGGAGATGGGATCAAGCCCAAAGCTTCGCAGAAAAGGTACAAGGTTGAGGAGCGATTTGAAGGACAAGAATGAAGCGGCATAGTTCTGGTGTTTGGGGAGTGAGTGCAGAGGATGCACACAACAAAGCCAGACTTTTGGGTAGCTGGAGAAGGCAGAGTGTGCTGAAGGTCATGAAGAAGAAGAGATCGGATTTATACCCCCACCCTTCACTACCCAAAGGAGTCTCAAAGCGGCTTACAAGCTCCTTTCCCTTCCCCCTCCCCAAAACAGACACCCTGTGAGGTCAGTGGGGGTGAGAGAGCTCTGATAGAAACTGCTCTTTTTCAAGGACAGCTCTTATCAGAGCTATGGCTTGCCCAAGGTCATCCAGCAGCTGCAAGTGGAGGAGTGGGGAATCAAACCCGGTTCTCCCAGATTAGAGTCCGTGCACTTAACCACTACACCAAACTGCTAAGACGGAGACAGGAACGGGATTTGTAGCGCAGGGAACTGAGGGACTACCTTCTTGATTTAGCATTTAGTTATTACAGCAAGGGAGGAACTCAGGATACTAGATATGGCCTTTCAGACTGTGGAAAGTCTCCACGCCCCCCCCCCAATCAAGATTTGTGCCTACACCTTGTGTGTAAGGCTTGGACTAAAATGCCTTCTAGCCCCTTCCATGTATTTTGATTTGAACCAACTCGCTCTGCTGTGCTGGACCTTTTGACAAAAAAGGGACTAGTGTCCCAGATCCGGTTTCTCATTCGGGGCTCATCTGTCCTATCAACGCAAAACAGTTTGCAAACCCTTTGCAACCAGCAGGTTCCTTGCTGACTCACTCGGACCCCCAACCCTATAGAAAGGCTCTTTCAAAGAATCCCTAGCACCCTCACAAAACAACAGCTCCCAAGCTCCTCTGGGGAGGCCAGGAGGGTTGAACATACAAATCTCCGTAGCCCCAAGCTGACACCCCTTCCTCCCCAACTCCAAACCCAGCAAACCAAACTTAGGAGCCCTGGCTCCCGTCTCCCACTACCTGGGTACCTGCATGTTCTCCCGCAGGTCTGTGGCCTCCCGCAATGGCTGAGTGGCAGTCCGGAACACCTCATCTATGGCCTTGATTCCCGTGGCCTTCATGGACGTGTACTCCCGCATGCGCCGTCCCTTGCGCCCCGAGAGCCCCCGCCGGTGTGCTTTGCCCCCGCCCCTTCGGTTGGTGATGGCCACGTGCACAAACAGAGTCGCGTTGGGGAGGGACTCGCCAGAGAGGGATTGGAGGGGCACGTGGCGGTAGCCCGTCTGGAGGCATTCAAAGGGGATGGTGTACTGTGCGATGAACTCGTCCCCGATGTAATCGTCATCAAGCACCATGAACCGGAGGATCGCCAGCTCGGGAAGGTTCACCTGGAACTCCAGAGTCTCCTCAAAGACCGGGTTGTCCCCGCTCTGCAGCACCGTCTTAGTGCGTTTTTCAGCACAGTCAGCTGGGATGCCGTGTATTTCGGCGCAGACATATGGCTCCACCACATCCCCCTTGGCACCAGAGCCCTTGGGCTTGGGCAGATTCTGCCCGCTGATGATCTTGAGATGTAGCAGTTGGGCCGAGATGCCGGGGAAAGCGTCCCTGGTGTTTGCGCTGAAGTAGGACACCTCGTCACGCATAATGGCCGGCCGCAGCACATAGCCGCAGCTCCCGTTCTGGCGGAACCAGCCGGCGTTCAGGTCCATCATAAGGCCCGGTGTCTGGTAGTTCATGGCCACCATCTGGCAGCCGCACTTCCAGAAGTCCTGTGGGTTCATGTTGCTGGCATCGATCCGCATAGGGCTGGGATAAACCCGTGACAGGAAGCGCTTGTTGTAGGCCACAAAATCCTCCGGCTCCTCGTTGGCATAGCGCCCAGCCTCCACCTCGCTGAAGGAACACATTTCCCAATAGTGCGGGCTCCGCCGAGAGGCCTCGAAGCCTCGGAAAGACACCAGCTGGCACAGGGTCACCAGGTCGGAGAGCTCGTGGCACAGGGCCCGTCGGTGACGGGGCTGTTCTCGGTCCTCCTCACCGAGCGGAAGCCCTAGCTCTGAGGCCTCGTCGTCATCAGAGACGTCCCCCTCGCTTGACTGGCAGCTGGGAGGCAGCTTCCGGCCTTGGATTAGGACGCATCTCTTGAGCCTTTCTGGAGAGGGAAGATATCCTTCATTGGGATTTGGGGGTATCAGGTACAGCTTGTCCCCAAAAGTCTTCCTCAGGTGTTCCGCCACAACCCTCTGCTGAGCGCAGCAGCAGTGCACGGAGAGGCACAGGATGAGAGGAAATGCAGAGGCTTCGAAAGCATATTCCGCAATGGCACCCACCACTCTGGAGAAAGCCAAGCGGGCACCCACACTAACCACCGGCTCCCCAGAAGGGCCGTCGCAGACCATGAGTTCCAAGCTGCGGCAGCCGGCCTTGAGAGCCGCCACATAGCCCCCGATGTCCGAGGTGGAGCCGCCCCAGAAACAGCTGTCCTCGGCCAGACACGCTCCGTGCGCAGAGCTGATGAAGTAGTGGGACAGCGGTTGGCTCATGTCTTGGCACACCTGGCGGTGCTGTGGGTCGAATATGCTGCAGTCGGCCGAGAGGAGGTAGCGCGTGAAGCCGTCGATGGCCAAGTAGCCCTTTTCCCGGCCTTCCTTGGACGGTTCGTATTTGCTGATGATCTCCACGCACATTTCTTCTGTCACCCCTTCCATGCCCTGCTCGGCCTCCAAGAAGATCATGAGATCCTTCAAGCCCATGTATTCTTTATTGCTGGAAAACTGGACCAGGAGGAAAAACACCTCGGGCCTGGTACACAGCTCGCAGTAGGCCTCCACAAAGACCTCGCAGCTGACCTCGTCCCCCATCCGCTCGCTGGCCGCTTTCTGGAGCTCCTTGAACTTCAGCTCGATCGTGGAGGCCTTCATGCCGGGGTTGAGGGCCTGGATGAGCTGCACGGCCCGGGAAACAGGGATCCGGCCTTCCTTCTCCAGGTCCGCAATGTCGAAGACAGAGGAGACCCACGAGGTGCGGGGGTTCGGACAGCCGGTCTCCGGAGCCCCCTCCAGCGTGTGCTTCCCATAGGACGCCAAGTACCGCAGCCCCATGACCCACGCATTCACCACATCGGCAGAGCTCGCCACGAGATCCAAGGACTCGTAATTGTCTCCGTAGATGATGGAGAACGCGCACTCGTCCGGGAACTGGTCAGAGAGGCCGTTGGAGCGCAGGACTGGCGTCTTCTTCCCGACACGCACCTCCTTGACTGACTTGATCTCTATCTTGGCCTTGTCCGAGTCTTTCTTGGAAGGCTCCCAGTGCATGAAACGCAGGTCAGGGTCCAGCACGAAGAACCGGCTGTACATGCGCGAGTTGGAGCGCACCTTCTTCATCTCGCAGCCCTCCAGCATGAAGGAGATGCAGGCGGCGGTGCTGCTGAGCTTGCGGTTGCTGGGCATGGTGCTGAAGGAGACGGTCTTCTTCTTCTGCAGGGAGCGCTGGCGGGAACCATCCTGCAGGAAGGCGGGGGGGGGGGAGAGAAAGAAAGAACGGGAAGGGTTAGGTGCGCAGTCTCTTCTTCTCTCACAAAGTGGTTGGTGGTGAGGACAGACACCGGGAGAGGAGAACCACGGTTCAGATCCCCACTTTGCCTTGAAGCTCACTGAGTGAGTTTGGGCCAGACTTTCTTCTCTGAACTTGATAACGGATTTTTAAAGGATAAAACAGGGGATGAAGAACCAAGCACACTGGGTGAGATAAAATCTCATACATAAAGGCAAAATCTTTCGACAGCAGTCTCAGTTTTTAAAAATACCTGGGTTTTCTCTATCCTAAGGAGCCTTACACTCTCCTTCCCCTCCTCTCCCCACAACAGGCACCTTGTGAGGAAGAAGAAGAGGAGGAGGAGGAGGGGGAGGAGGAGATTGGATTTATACCCCGCCCTTCACTACCTGAAGGAGTCTCAAGAGCAGCTTACAATCTCCTTTCCCTTCCCCTCCCCACAACAGACACCCTGTGAGGTTGGTGGGGCTGAGAGAGCTCTCTCGAGGACTGTTTGTAAGAGAACAGCTCTGAGAGAACTTGTGACCGACCCAAGGTCACCCAGCTGGCTGCATGTGGAGTGGGGAATCAGACCCGGTTCTCCCAGATTAGAAGCCGCATTCCTAACCACTACACCAAACTGGCTCTCCTACACCAAACAGGCTCTCTGGTAGGTGGGGCTGAGAGAGTTCTTGGAGAACCGTGACGGGCCCAAGGTCACCCAGCAGGCCTCATGTGGAGGAGTAGGAAACAAAACCCAGTTCTTGAGATTAGAGTCCACAACTCTTAACCACTACACCATGCTGGCTCTATTTAGACATTTATACCTTCCCTTCCTCTCCCCACAACAGGCACCTTGTGAGGTAGGTTGGCCTGTCTTTCTGTCACTCTTAACCACTATCTCACACTGTCTCTCAAAAATAGGTTTTTGTACCCCGCTTTTCTCTACCCTCAGGAGTCTCAAAGTGGCTTACAATTGCCTTCCCTTCCTCTCCCCACCACACGCACCTTGTGAGGCAGGTGGGGCTGAGAGAGTTCTGAGAGAACTGTGACTGGCCCAAGGTCATCCAGCAGGCCTCAGGTGGAGGAGAAGTAGGGAACCAAACCCAGTTCTCCAGATTAGAGTCTGCCACTCTTAACCACTACACCACTTTGGCTCTATTTAGACATTTATACCCGCCTTTTCCTTAAGGAGTCTCAAAGCGGCTTACAATCGACTTCCCTTCCTCTCTCCACCACACGCACCTTGTGAGGCAGGTGGGGCTGAGAGAGCTCTGAGAGAACTGTGACTGGCCCACGGTCATCCAGCAGGCCTCAGGTGGAGGAGGAGTAGGGGATCAAACCTGCTTCTCCAGATTAGAGTCCGCCACTCTTACCCATTAAACCACACGGGCTCTCCTTTAAAAAAACAAACAAACTAGCAGATAAGTCCAACCCAGGGAAACAAGGACTGACCAACTAGAACTGGAAGAAAGCAAAATAAGTAGAGTCTAAGTCCCTTAACTGGGAATGCTTCAATTTTAGTATAAAGCAGCTTCGCACAAAGTTGAAGAGCATCCTGACTTGGGTCTATGCTAAAAGAGCACCTTCTGCCAGATTCCTCAGCGGAGACGCCGGCATTCGCAAGCTCCCCCCCACCCAGAGAAAGCGGACTCCGACCCCCCCCCCATGACCAGCCCTGACCCAAATTGTGTATTGTCGCCCACTCCCAAGGTGCGAGGGATAGATAAGGCTGGCGTGGGGGCCAGAAATGCAGGCTGCTAAATATAGCCGCATCCGAGCATTCTGCCAGTTCCCCTCCCTTCTTTCCTCTCGATGGTGCAGCCGGAAGGCCAGGCCGGGGCAGGAGAGCGCGAAGGATGGGGTTAAAGAAAGGGTGTGAGGCAGGGGACAGAAGTAGGCTGGGAATGGCTACATGGCGTTAGTTTCGAGCTTCAGGTGAAAGGAGCAGTCCACACCAACCTCTGGGTAGGACTCACCCATTCCCTCCCTCACGCCTATAACGGCGCAGAAACCAAAGGGGAGAGGGGGAAAGCCTATGCTCATTTCTCTCCCGATTTTCTCAGTGGTGCAGAGAATGTACTCTGTACGTGCTTAGAAAACACTCTGTTTACTTTGCATGTTCCAGGAAGACGGACGGGGCCCCAGTCAGACTTCCCCTATCCCCGCGCAGTGAGTTTTGAAAGCAAACAACGAAATCAGGATAGCTATCCATGTGGGTTTTACAAACAGTTCTTGGCCAACCCATGTAACAACTTCGAGCCCAGGAAAGAGATGGAGTACTGAAAATTCAGAGTCTTGGATCCACTTGGTGATTTCTGTGAGAATGGGAAGAAAGCGTGACTTTCTCGCCTCCTATCCTCCCACAGTAGCACCAAAGGCTCCCCGATATGCTGTTCACAGGAGTCAGGGAACCCCTTCCGGGTCCCTGAAATGGGTGGATGTGGCTTGCACGAAGAGCGATACCTTTGCATCTTGGAGAACAAGGCAAACCTACTAACAAAGGTCAGTTATGCCACGTGGGTCAGATCTGTCTGCGTCCCACTTCTCTGCCCTTCTTGATGTATGAAATAAACTACTGAAGAAGAAGAAGAGATTGGATTTATACCCAGCCCTTCACTACCCGAAGGTGTCTCAGAGCGGCTTACAAACTCCTTTCCCTCCCCCTTCTCACCACAGACACCCTGTGAGGTAGGTTGGGCTGAGAGAGCTCTGGGAGAAACTGCTCTTTTTCAAGAACAGCCGTGCCAGAACTATGGCTTGCCCAAGGTCATCTAGCCAGGTGCAAGTGGAGGAGTGGGGGAATCAAACCCGGTTCTCCCAAATTAGAGACTGCGCACTTAACCACTACACCAAACCCTACTGGAAGATAGGGCCACTTTTGGAGGTTCTATAAAAACATGATTCTGTCTTATAGCAAGTGAGACCACTGGCACTGGTCTATCCAGGTCAGCTTTGTCGACCAAGACAGGCAGCAGCTCAGGTCAAGGTCTCGCATATCACCGCCTACCAGATCTTTTTAACCAGCAATGTTGGGAATTGAACCTTTAGTGTGCAAAGCAGATGCTCTGCCATTCAGCCAAGGCCCCCTTGTTCACACTGTGACAGAAACACTAAGCTCAAGAGCGTCACCTAGAGCAGGGGTGTTGAACTCATTTGTTATGAGGGCCAGATCTGACATAAATGGTTCTTTTATGTGGCGGGCCATGTGTGTCATAAAATGTAATGCCAAGTAGTGGAGATATAAACTTTATAAAGAACACAAACACAAAGGTTTTTTTTTTACTTAAAATAAAAACATGCTTAAAACATTAGCTCTGTAATCTGCAAACCTACTTTTGATTTATCGACATTCACCACAGAAATCTCATGCTCAGAGTTCTGAGTCTAGGACCCAGGTTAAAACATGAAATGGCAGCGTGATTAAGAGAGTCTGGTGAAGCAAGCTATGATGCAGCAGCAGCAGAACTGGAAGCAGGAGTTCCACTGCAGGCCTGATGGAAGCCCTCCGGGCCGCATGTTTGACACCCCTGACCTAGAGTGTCTGTGATCTTGGACCCCTGGAGGTTCCATTGGAACGAGCCATTCACTTCCACTCCACATTGGAACATCCTGGCAGATTTAATCCCTTTTGGACAACAGACAGTTTGGTTTGGCCCAGACCACCTGCTTGTCATGGAAATTCAGAGCCATTATCAGGTGCTTGATGGAGGCCAGACTATATTTTACAAGGCACTGATTGGTAACAGTAGCCCCTGACATCAGAAATGAGGATTTGCATGGGACTGGAGAAATCTGCTTGTCATTCTTAGAAAGGAGGCTGGCTGGCTTAAATCCAATTCTATTGACCAGAAATTCTGGACAGGACATTTGGGCTTACCCTTGTCTTCAGGTGTGCATTACTCTTTGGGTGAAGAAGTCCTTCCTTTTATCTGTTCTAGGCAGGGGTCATTTCATAGAAAAAGAGGTGCAGAAGCTCATTAGCATAACTTATTAGCATAACTTATTTGCATATGCCACACCCCAACATCACCGGAAGTGTGTCAGAAGGCAACACCCACCGCTCAGGCTCCACTGGACTGTTTTGGATTGCTAACTACTGCGGGGGGGGGGAGAGACATGCAGATCTGCCCTTAATAGAGGAAGGAGAGCTTGTACCTGAATAAAACTTGGTCTTAAAGGTGCCACTGGACTGTCTTGGATTGCTAGCTATGAGGGGGGGGATGCAGATCTGCCCTCACAGAGGAGGGAGAGCTTGTACCTGAAGGCGGGCCGGGGGAATGCTCTGCAACTTACCTGGCTGCTTCTTGCTCGACTGCTGGGAGCAGGGGATGGGACTTGTTGCATGTGTCCGGCCCCTGGGCTCCTTACTGCCGGAGCTCCACTCCTGTGCGCTCCCGCAGGAAATGACCCCTGGTTCTAGGCCTCCTGTTCATGACTGCCCATGAGTTCTTGTACTGTGAGAAAGCAGTGCCGCAAGACCATCTATTACCTGCGGCCACACACTTCACTCCATCAAGGAGGGGTGCACAGTTCAGGGCCACTGAGGGTGACTTCAACTGATGGGCAGGCAGGGACATACTTCATTGTCAAAAGGAGCTATTTCGAGAAGGACCTTGCATGGCCTTCTAAACTATGCAATGCATGGTGTGTGCAACAGGTATGTTGGCTGGCCAGCTGCGTGTTAAGAGAGAGGCCCATCTCCTTCGAAAGGGCGGCGGGGGGGGGGAGGCTTTGCTTTTTGGAAATCTGACTTCAGATCCTTAATGTATTAGATATCGTATTTCTTAATGTATGTGATTTTATTATGATTGTTTTATGCGATTTTATGGTTGTAAGCCACCCTGAGCCAGCCTTGGCCGGGAGGGCGGGATAAAAATATAATAATAATCATAATAATAATGACAACAACAACAACAATAATAATAACAATAACAATAACAACAATAATAATAATAACAATAATAATAAC